CAATTACAATGCCTTGACGCGTACACTGTCCCATTTCATTTTCCTATTAGTATTCAAATCGGGCTGGTGATAATCAGTCACGTTCGAGTGTAATTCGAGGTCATTATGATGAGTGTATTTCACACAAGTGAGTAGTACCTTTCGCGCGCGCTGATTGGCTAGTTCGGAAGTGAATACCAAGTGCTATTCACACCCGAGCAGCCAATGAGACAAAAACGCGCGTCAAGAGATTAATTTCCGACCACTTTTCCCACACAGAAAACATTTTCGGAGTAAATTTTTCGAAGTCAAATAACAAAGTCTCGGACGGAAGTCGGTTCTAAATTAACCTAGACTTTCTTATCATGCTGACTATATGTTTGATATAGATTTCATGTAATTGTAGCTTGGTTTCCGTATCTTCTAAATACGGGGTTCGTTGAAGAAAGATCATCTGAAAAAACATGTATAATATCGTACTTAAAGTGACAAATCTACTGCCATATATGATTTTTACGCAAATTAAATTGTATACTATTTCTCTTACTAGTAAGTGTAAACTTGGAAAAAAATGCGGAAAAAAACACCCTTCGTAAAGCTTGCCTAAGAGCTATGGAGCACCCTTTGTTCTGCCTTCTCCCGATGCTGTTGGTTTTCCTTCCATTTACCACGTAACTGAAATAAAAATGGAAGCTGATTGGTCGAAAACCTATGATTTATTGCAGCGGCAGAGTCAGAAAATTTACAAACTTTCCCCTTGTTCTTCCAAATCCCACGTGGGTTATGACACCAATAAGCCGATCAAAAGTGTAGTCTATGGCTTAACCATCGATTGATTATTTATTCATCAACTATCAATTTGTTTCTATTTTGTCTTATCAAATGTTGATCACAATGTTTCGAGTGATGAATGCCTCACACAATAAGATGTCGATTTTCAGATTGGCCATTGATGACATTCTTTTTTCCCGCCTAATAGGGGTACGTATAGCGCGGTGTCAGAGCTCCCTAGAAAATAACACCATTTTTTTTTTATTCTATCAAATGTGCAGATGAAATGGAGTCTTTCGGAACGTGGGCTCATCCATCGTCACAACACACTTACAATCGCGACTTAGGCCACATACAACTCTATAGGGCGACTATCAACAAAAATAAGCTGAAAGATCGCAATAAACTTGCATTTCTTGAACCTGGACAAAGTCTGTTTTGTACGGTAAGGATTTTTCTGTTTAAAACCACTGATGCTGTTAGCTAGACAAGGAAATGACAGACGAACAGGGAGAGAGGAAACTTGCATAATATATTATATAAGTTTAAATTTAATGTTAGAGCTGATAGAGGAACAGAAAGAGATGGAGACGTGTAGGCAAACAGATAGAAACAGCTAAATACACAAATAGGATAACAAATAGGTAAACAGAAAAAAAGACAGAGCGAGGGGTAGAAAGACAGACCATGACAAGCGAACAGTCAGACAAACAGCGAGACTGGCAAGCAAACAGAGAGACAGACAGTCGTACAGACAGACAGAAAAACAGACAAACAGCATATCCGTGTAGCTCAGAGTAGCTTTCTGATATCATTTTGTGTTCCATTCAACAGAGCCGTACTGCACCTAAACATAGTTCCGTTTTTCTTCGCATTGACATGAAACAGCCGCTTTCTGTCATGCGAATACTATTTCTTGGAAAAACAAAGAGAGTAGGCCCATCTGTGAAATGCCTCGAAGACGTGTCACCGCTTCGTCTGATTCTGTCTTCAAGCCTTGATGGAAAACTCTGGAGTCCTTTTGGAACATACAACCAAGTGGACGACAGGATCATGGAGGTGCATGACATTACTGACTCTTAACTAAGTTTGATTAGCTGTAACAAGGAGACAAAATGTCTAAAATCTAGAATACCTCGGTTTACCATAA